ACTTAGTTCCCCTCTGGTGGGTGTTTAGCTCATTTCCAATCAATTGCTCTCACACACAGACTATCTTTGTTCTAACATGATGCGCCCAATGCAAGGATATCCACTGGATAAATTCCAAGAGGTGAAGTGGCAGAGACAGAGGGCATGAGCATCTTCAATACTGACAGTTTTCTTACCCCCGCCTCAGGTTGCCCCAATTTGTGCTCCCACCAGCAGAGTCAGAATCCCGGTTGCCACACCAGCACTGAGTGTTACCCAGCGAACTTGCAGGTGGAAAACAGAATCAGTGTGGTTTTGTTGTGCATTTCTGTTTTCAGAGTTCAGCATCTTTTCATCTGTTTGAATTCAATTGTATTTCTTTTTATGTAAACAGTAGAATCATATCCTCTATTCCTTACCCCCCACTCCCCCCACTTTTGGATCACGTGGTTCGTCTTTCATTTATAAGAGCTCTCTATGAAATTAACTCTTTCTCATAAAAGTGGCAAATACTTTCACTAGTTTGACATGCCTGGGCTTATGGATTTTTGTTTGTTTGTTTTGGTCATGCAGAAGAAATTAATTTTTATGTAGCCAGACTCAGCAACTTCTATCTTTAAGGCAAGGCCCGTGCTTCTACCCATTAGGCTGTACTGCCTCCCCGCTCTGATCAGCGCTTTGAAGAAGACACGTGGAGTGGGCCTGCTTCTTGATTGGAGGTCCTCGGCAGAATATTATTGTCCCCAACCTAGACTTGGACCTGGACATGTGTTCTCAAGGTGCCAAGGGAGAAGAGACTGTTCACAGAGAGACTCTAATCACGAGTTTTACTGGGAGGGGGACAGGTCCTCAGCTCCCTGATTCCGCACTAGAAAATAACTCCTCTGAAAGTCAAATCTTGCCCCAGGCCCTCAAGGTGGGCCCACTGGAGGCTGTGAGACTAGAAAGGAGAGCACGTTCTAGAGAATAAAACCCCCACTAGGCCCCTTGGCAACTTTCCTATCTGTAAAGAAGTGGTTCTTTCCAGCCTCCCACACTGGAGGGGATGTGCCTTTGTCTTAGCGCATCCCCTCCAGGTTTGGTCTTTGCAAGGGCAGAATTCTCACCACCAACCCACTCTTCTAGAGGGAGGCGGATGCAGGTGGCCAAAGAGGATCTCATTTGAAGGTTTCCTCCAGACCAGTGATTCTGAAATTTTAGCTTTCATGAGAACCACCTGGAGGTCTTGTTAAATTACAGGTTGCTGGGCCCACCCCCAGAGTCTCTGACTTAGTAGGTCTAGACGGGGTCTGAGAATCTGCATTTTGAAAAAAATCTGCAGGTGATGCTGAGGCTTCTGGTCCAGGGACCACAACTTGAGACCCATTGGCCCAGGACATCCACTCCCTGGAGACCCCCATCTCAGGCTGGGCAGTGGTATGAGTTAGGGTGAGAGGCCTGGAAGAACACGGGCTTCATTCAATCAAAATAACAGCAACTGCTCTGTGCCAGGGGCTGTGCTATGGGCTGTGCATTCATTCTCATCTCATCCTCACACCAAGCCCACGAAGTAGGTTTTACTGGTACTAACTCCACTTTACAGTGGAAAAACTGAGGCTCAGAGAGGGTGCATGGGCTTTAGAATTAGACAGATCTGGAGTCTGATTCCAGCTCAGCCACTGACCCATCGTGTGAGCTCCTGAGCAAGTGACTTACCATCCCTGAGCCTCTAACTCATCAGTAAGTGGGGACCAAAAACCTGATTCTTGGGGCATTATGAGGATGACAGGGCTGATGATTATAAGGGCATCTGTAAAGCACAAGAAATGTACATCTCCTTTCTTGCCGCAAGCCCCATCAGGATCTCAAGGTCCTTTTCTCCAGATCCATCTTCCCTCTCCCTATACTCTGAGATACCTTACCAGAAGTCACACTGGACTACTGTCACTTCCTAAACCTGCTTCACCTGGTCATGCTCCCAGGCCTTTGGAAAGGCTGTTTCCTCTGTGTGGAAATGCCTTTCTCACGCTATTGCTCCAGAGAAACTCCTATTCATCCTTCAAAACCCACCTTAGAAGTCCCCTCCTTTTTGTCACTTTCCTTGAAATGTTGTCCTCCTCCTGCCCTTGGAAAGGCAGGAGGAGGACAACATTTTCCTCTTTCACTTGTGTTCCCATAACATTTTATATGGAGTACAATCTGGAATACAAATTGCACTGTTACAGGGACCAGGCAACTTATACCACCACCAGCAATCATCAGCATCATCAGCACTTAGTGTTTTCCATGCACCAGGCACTGTTGTAAGAGGCTGAGGTTTGTTGATTCATTTAATGCCTAAAATAGCCCTCCCTCTGAGGTGCTACTTATTATCCCTATTTTCCATATGAGGAAATCGAATCACAAAAACGCTAAATATTTTGCTTTAGACCATACAACTAATCCATGCCAGAGCTGGGATGCAGAAGCTGGCTGTGGAGTCTGTGTTATTAACATTTATATTATGCTGCTCTTTATGAATGAGGGGTGGGCCAGGTGGGGACTGTGCCACCCTGGAGGGCACCTGCCCCATCCCAGGGGGCAGCCGAATGTTAGGGCTGGAGTTGTCAGCCTTTCTGATCCTCTTTTCTCAAGAGGATCCAGAAATATGAAGTTTTATGTGACATCTCCCACCTTTTAAAATCTTGGGAGTAAGCTAAAATTGAAAAAGGAGTGTGGACCTCACAAAAGCTGCACACAGGCCTGCTTTGTGGGAACCTCGTCTCAGTTTGTTTCTGCATCTTAGCTCAGGGCTAGGCACACAGTAGGTCCTTTGTAGGTGCCATGACACTTCTGGACCTCACTGTGAGGTGGGCGTGGCTCTCACAAGCTGAGCTCTCATCCCAGTCCCACTCAGCACTGAGATTCTCTGACCTGCACTTGGGATGTGGACGAGGTCCCAAACGGTGGCCCTGAGCACCACCCCAACCTTGGGGCCATCTCCAAGTCTCCTCTGTCCAAGATAAGACTTCCTGCTTTCCAAGTGCTGACAATGAGTTAAGTGTTTTGTTTCGTCAACCCACTGATCCACTCAACAGATCTGGGAGGCTGCCATGTTCATCATCCCCGGGTTACAGATGCGAAACTGTGGCTCAGAGAGTGGATGGGAATTATTGCCCAAACTAGGAAGAGGTGGAGCTGGGACTGTGATGCACACAGCTCTGATTCTAGCTTTTCCCCAACCAGCTGTCATCAGGCTTCCACCCAACTTTTGATAGTTCTGGCCCACGTTCTAGGGCAAGCACACTCCCACGGTACAGCCCAGACCTGGAAAGTTTGTGGTATGCAGATAGGACCCTGGACACTCCAGTCTGTCAGGCATGGTTTCTAGCTCCTTCTGTGTCTTATTGGATGGCGGGGATGGCATTGAGAGTGTCTAGAGGGAACTCCTGGACATGGTCCCTTATGGGAATTCTGCCCACTGGGGCCTGGACAGGCAGAACTTGTGGCCTGGCTCAACCCCAGGCCTTTGGGCTCAGCAGCAACTGCAGATCGCAGGGTATAGTGTTTGTACGTGTCCACAGACAGAAGGATAGAGATGTGTGTATGTGCACCTGTGCATGTGTGTATGCCTTGTGTATGTGTGCACGCACGTGCGTGTACAATGGAGAACAGGGGACCTTGTCCCCCAAATTCAGATCCTGTGAAGTTAGTTTAGGACAAAGTACAAAGAAATCTAAACCCAGAGATGTCAATTTACAGCAGAGGTTGAAATATGAAAGAGTCCCCTAATTTTTACAACTTAACTGCCCATCGGTAGGCGTATCCGTGGTGGAAAACAAGGCAGCAGTTAAAATAAATAAGCTACATTTTATATGCAGCAACTTGGATAACTTTCAAAGAAATGATAACTGGGTGGAGGGGGGTGGCAAGTTTCAGAATGATGTGCATGGATTATACCGTTTCTATTAAAACATCCACCCACAACATTACTCTGCAGTTTACATACCTTCTATGGGTACGCATGTATACAACTGCCTGGGTGTAGGAAAGGCCTAGAAGGAACTCCCCAAATTACGAAGGCAGTTACCTTTGCGGGGGCAGGGAGGTCAGGGGTTGAAATTTACAAAGGAGAATGGATCTGTGTACTCCTCGCGGCATCACACAGTTCAGTGGGCTGGTACGTTGGGCCACTGGTGGATGTCACGTGGAGGCCACAGGGAGGCTTAAGCCTGGGGAACAATTCACACAGGACCCCCATTGACTCTCTGAGGGCTCTGCTGTCAGGGACAAACCACCGCTTTGGCTGTTCTGCCCTCACTCCCTGGTGGAGATGGGGTGTGGGAGCTGTCCTGCCTCTTGTGGATGGAGGAGCTCTGCTGCTTCCTCCGGAAACCTCCCCCTGCCTCAGTTTCTCCCTCCACACTGGAGGGAGAGGTTCCGCCCCAGCTGTCCGCCCCCACCCCCTGCCCAGTACCCCCAAATCTCCGACACATGCCGCTCTGGGGGATAGCAGGGCCTCCGGATCTGGCCTCCTCCCAGTGTGGCCCCAAGGGGGACAACTCAGGGAATGAACCCCCATTGCCCAGAAGCGGGCTGGCAGAGGAGGCTAAGGTGGGCTCTGGGGTCAGACTCCCTGGGTTCAAATCTGGGCTCAGCAAGTTGTCCCTGGAACTCGGGGAGGCGTCTCCAGCCTCTGACCCTCAGTTTTCTCCTCTGTAAAATGGGGACACCAAGAAGGGCCTAATTCCAGCAAAGCGTTGTGCGTCCCGGCGCCTAGCCCGTGCTCTCAGGTGTCGCTGCTGTTGCGCTCCCGAACGACACCTCACCCCGCCCCTCGGGGCCGAGGACGCGGCCGCCCTCTCTGCCGCCCCTGACAGACACTCATCGCCCTCTCCCGGTCCCTCGGCTCGCATCCGGGGGCTTCCCCACTCCCCACAATCCTCTGCGGTGGTCCCCCTACGCCCGAGGCCGGGTCCCCGCAGCGCCGCCGAGCGCCCTCCGGTGGGAAATGGCGGGGTGGGCGGCGGGGGAAAGCGCGGAGCCCGGCGTCGCTGACGTACCTGCTTCCCGCGGCGGCTTGGGATGCGCGCGGCTGGCGGCGGCGGCGGCGGCGGCGGCGGCAGCTGCTGGGCAGTTGTCACGGTGGCGCCGCGAGCGCGCGGACAGGTACTGGGAGGGAGCGGGCGGCGGGGCTGGGAGGTCCGGGAGCGCGGCGGGCGGGGCTTGGCGGCGCCGACGGCCCGGGCCCCCGCCCCCGCCCGGCGGGCCACCGCCCCCGCTCGGCTCCCTGCCGCCCCTCTTTCTCGCTCTCACCCGAAACAAGCTCCCGCCGCGCGCGTTCCCTCGTGCCCGCTTCCAAATCCACGTCCGCCCGGCACACCCACCCGGACCCCTCGCGCACACACCCCGCATTCTCCCTCTGCACATCCGGACCTGCGGCACCAATATGTACGCACAGACCCCGTCATCCTCGTGTTCCCCAGACAGACCACTGTCCCCACAGTCCCCTACCCCGCCCCCCCAACACATACGTGCCCCGTGCAACACTTCATCCTGCCCCGCGGTGTACCTGGACACATTGCGCACACCTGTACGACCACGCCCATCACATCCACACCCCCGCAGGCACAGATTGTCCTCTGGGCAAGGTGAGGACTTCAAGGAGTTTGCATAGGAACAGGCTTCTGCAGCTGATTTCCCTGTCCCTCACCGACCTCTGCATTCCCTCACCCTCACCTTTGCTTTCTCAGGGACCTTCTCCTTCCTTGGCCTCAGCCACATCCTCCAAGGTCATTCCCAGATCCCCGTCAGCCCCTGAAGGCCCCGTCCGTTTGGACCTTTGGCTTCCTGCCAGTGACACCCACTACACCTGTGCTTCCGCCTCAGCATGCTGCCAGGCCCCCTTCTCTAATCCTCATTTCCTTCCCTCTTCTCATCAGTTCCAAGGACTATCATTTCAGTATCTTCATTTCACGTGTGCATGGCAAACCCCAAATGTCAGCCTGTCTTTGTCTTGCCATTTAGAGACTGTTCCTTTTCCCTTGCGGCTGTAACAAGCGACCACAAATGTAACTAGCTTAATACACATAAATGTATTATCTTACAGTTCTGGAGGTCAGAAGTCTGACACCACTAAAATCAAGAAGTGGTACGACTGTGCTCCTTTTGGAGGCTCTAGGGGAGAATCTATTTCCTTGCCTTTTCTAGCTTCTAAATACTGCCTGCATTTCTTGGCCAGCAATGTCAGGCCAAGTCTTTTGTATATACCACATCTCTGGTACTCTCTTCTGCCTCTCTCTTCCACTTATAAGGACTCTTGTGACTACATTTGTTCTACCTGGATGGATAATCCAGGATAGTCTCTCCATTTCTAGGTTAACTGATCACCAATCTTAATTCTAACTGCAGTCTTACTTCCCCTTTGCCCTGTAATTTAACATATTAACAGGTTATAGGAATGAGGACTTAGACATCTTTGGCTGTTATTCTGTCTATCACAGAGGCTGAGCCCTGTTGGAGAAAATTAGTCTTCCGAGAGGATTTTTGCCACTATAAATTTATGAACTCTACAAGCAGAAAGACCCCTATCACTGTCAGTATTTGCAGTAGAAAAATAATAAAATAAAATGTGGAATGGTTATGTGATGGAATACTATACAGTACTGAACAAGAACATATTCCACCTATGCATATGAATGTTCAAAGACTTCAAAATCATGAATGAAAAAAGCAGGAGAATTGAAAAAACAATGAGAGCAATGAGTGCTTACTCTGTGGCAGATGGTGTTTCTAGGCACTTATATTAAAACTCACAGCAATCCCCTGGGGTAATACAGATGAGGAAGCTATGGCACAGGAGGTTGAGTAACTTGCCCAAGGTCACACAACTAGGTAGCATCAGAGTCGGGATTTGAACCCAGAGTCAGTCTTAATCCAGAGCCTGTGCACTTCACTGCAGCAGAGTAATTTGTACAGTATGAATGATTTCAAGTTAATTTTTTAGAGCACATAAAACTATATATATATCCAAATCACTTTGCTGTATACCTGAAACTAACACAATATAAATCAACTGTACTTCAATTAAAAAAAAGATAGGTGGATTCATATATCTGCTTCTGAATTCAGTCTGTTGCATTATGTTGTTTAGTGGAAATAAATAAAGGAAATCCAGCCTCATGTAATTTTACCCACCATTGCTTTTGTCAACCATTGCTTTCCTCAGTGCAAATGTCAACATGGTGACCAGGCAAGTAACATCTTAGTATTATTATGACAATATAATTATTATTGTATTATTGACACACTCCCACTCTCCCCCACCCCTCCACCAGAAGTCTGTGAGCCACACTTTGAAAACCATTAGCATAAAAACCACTAGGTTTGATAAACCTAGTATATCTAATATCAACAATTTCAATTGTTGTTGTTCAATTTCAATTGTGACCACTGAAATTGTTGATATTAGACTATTATTGACCTACAAAAATGGCAACATCATATGGTTCCACCCAGTGCGTGTTATTTTGGAGGGTTTTCCTTTTGGTTCCCACCCTGCTTCCCTGGCCAGGCCCTGTTGTTGAACATCACTGGGTGCGTCTCCTCTGAGACTGTGTTGCTGTGCGCGGCTTTGTACAAATGATACGTCTTTCTTTATGTCATGATTTCCAGTGTGGGGGGGAGCTGGAGTTTGGGGGGTGTATAGGAACTACGAACTGGTTGATGTTAGGCTGACATATTTTAAAGTATGTATTTTAAGCAGTTGTGAACGTGGAGAGGGGTGTTCTCAGAGCTGGCTGAAGGACGTCAGAAAGTCCACGTGGACTTCTGTCAGGTGTTTAGAACTATGGATCATTTGGCAAAAAAACAAAACCCCTTTTTCTAGACAAAGACATGTGGGCTGAGTTATGGCACAGTTGGATGCATTCACGTCTGGATAGATTCATGAGTGGTTTGGGAGGTAAGTGACCCCAAAATGTTCTATTGAATATTTATATACTATTGTGGAAGAATAGTCCTCCTGCTTTCTTTAGTCAAGTTAGTGCAATTCTAAGAGATGATGAGATAGGAAAAGGGATCCAAGATCAGTCAAGCCAGCCCTGGGGATCAGTGGGGTGTTAAATGCCATTTTTATAACCACTATTTAAACAATACATTGTATAAAAGATAAGGCGATTATTCTTTTCATTTCCCCCTAAGGAGGGGGTCACTGAGCATCCATTCGTTCTACTCTAGGTAACTGCCTGTGACTTAGTTCTGGGGTCACCACCCCTTCCTCACTCCTACCCCATATTTTGATCCTGGTGACGCTTATTTCATGTATCACCGCCCCATTCAGGGTTGATACTACCCCAGCCTAGAAATCACACATTGTATTCCTCTTGGGATATTGATTGGTTCAAAGGAGGGAATGAGACACAACTCAAAGTTAACCGTAGCCAATGAAACTCTACACAGGGACTTTCTCTTTGAACTCTTAGGGAGTCCCACCTGCTTCCGAGTGGTTCAGATATGGAGCTGCATCTGGGAAGAGGCTGCATGAGAACGAATCCCATCCAGAGAGAAGACAGAGAGGAACTAGGTCCCAGTTTCATCGTCTGACCCACATGAAGCCATACCTGTCCTACCCCTGGACGTTTCAGGTGCATGAGGCTATACATTTACTTTCTGCTAAGCCATCTTGGGTTGGGGTGTCCGTTGCTTGCAACTAAAGACTCCTAAGTGATTCTGGTGAAAATTTTATCCAAACTACAGAAGAAGGAAGTCAGGAGGGACAGTTACAGAATCCTGACATCTGGAATGTCAGGTTCCAAACTAAGATAAACTACAACAAGCAGAGACGTGAAGTCCTGCAGTTAGGCTCAATCAGACAAATACTGTGCTTAAGTACAGAATGGGAAGCCATGGCTTGGGACCTGTGCCACCCTCTGAGATATAGAGCCTCTTAGAGATACAGCAGCACCTGCAGGTCTGGAGGCCCTGGGCGCTGGGTCTCTGGCTTTGTTGGCAAAATCCTTATCTGGGTCCATTGATCAAGGTGGGCCCCTGGATCTTCAGTTTCATTCCCCCAGGCCACAGCAAGCTTGGGTGTTCCTCTTCTCTGACCACAGCTTACCAGCTTACACCATGCCTGTCCTTTCTGTTATTCCACTTTCTCTCCCTGGGATAGCCCCCCTTGGCTTTCCCTTCCCCCCCATTACTACTACTAATACTGAACTGTGGTACCGTTTGCCAGGCACCTTGCTATGTCTCTATCCTCCCAAACAATCTTATGAGGTAGGTTCTATTTTTGTTCCCATTTTACAGATAAAGAAACAGACTTGCTGATGTCAAGGATCTTTGCCCAAATAGCAGCAAAGCCAGGTCTCTCTGTAACCAAAGTCCATGTTCTTAAGCATTTTCTTAAACTGCAGATTTGTAAACAGTAGGGTGTGTGTGTGGGGGGGGGGGAATGGAGGAAATCCAGTTTTCAAACATGTTTTGTAAGATCACGTGGTATTTAAAAAATTTTTTGAACCAATGTTTAAAAGTCAGAGAAGAGCTCATAAAAATCAGCTTCCTGATTCTCTGGAAAATAAGCAGTCAGGAGGTCTGGGGACAACAGGGCTTCCATTCCTGCTTGGTCTAAGTGACCTGGAGCTGGGTGGCAGCTGAATGGACCTGTGACTCCCCACTCCTGCAGTGGCCAGAGTCCCCACACCCAGCCTGCCTGCACGTTGATGCCCCACGGACATTTGAGAGTGGAGCCTCCGCTCTCAGCACCACCAGGCCTCCTTAGCTTGGTCTTCCCCGCTCCCCGGCCAGTCTTCCACAAAAGCCTCCAGCCCCTGCCAAGCTTGGCGCTTTCCACTTTGTTCCCAGAAGTCCAACCACAGAGGCCAGATCACACAGGGCACAGCCAGGCTGGCGCTCAGGGCTCACCTGGTCATTCGGAGCACATACCTTTCCATTTTTCTCTCCCTCCTGGCCTAGATGAAAATTTTAATCAGCTTCTGCGGTTTTGACCTGAGGAAAAGGAAGATCTGGGAACAAACTTTGCAACTTTGCTATTGAGGTTTTCAGTTGCATCCAGGAACCTTGAGAAAGGTCAGGTTGCAGCTTGGTGACTTTAAAACACTCGAATATTCTTACAATCTAGTCAGGGAAGACAGACAATAAACGAGACAAAGAAGCTTTTCGATGGTATAACTGCTGTGGAGAAAAAGAA